TAAAACGATCTCAGCAATGATAATTTACTTTCAAGATGTGTAGTTCAAGATTGAATCCATAATTAGAAAAAATTAAGAGCTTCAACCAACTAGTGTAAAAAATATGCCTAAAAACCGTAAATACTAGTTCTACTATCGTTCAAATTGCTGAATACATATACATAATCATTACTATTGGTTATGGGTACCCTAGAACCTAATTGTGGGTATAATTCCCATTGGTATGCTGAAAAATTGGATGCTGCACGTGTGAAAGTAGCAGATCAGCGCGCCCACGAGACGACACGGGAGGGCAGAATGCTTCGTAGGCAACACCAAATGGAAATTTTGGAAACTTCCACAATGGCTGAAGAACTGTTATATGGCCCAGGAATAGATGACTCGTTGTAAATAAATTAATAATTCGTATTTCTGTACGTAAATCCAATGTAAAACTTTGAACGCGTTTTTCTCAAAACTATGTTTTTTGAATCGGTGACCACTGTAACTCAAAAACCGCTTAGTAGATTTTAATGAAATTTATAAAGCTTTTAGAATACATAATAAACTCGTGCCTGATCGAAGGATTTTTATTTTTTCAAAAATTTGAATTTTTTAAGACCAATTAACTGTTGATTTTTTACCCAAAAATCTAGTTTTTTTCTTTCTGATGCTGCCATTTTGTTAATTTTTGCAAAAAAAAGAAAACCTTCGATCCGGCCCGGGATTAACTATTCATAAAACTATTTTTTGAATTTGATTGATTTTAGATGAATCTCCAAGGAGTTATGATGGTCACCGCCAGGACCGTTTTTCGAAACAGGGTCAACAAAAACAGCTATAACTTTGGGAATATTGATTTTTTCTTTCTGAAATTTTCGTTACATCAAGTCAAAACATTGTATAATAATACTGTATTAATATTTTTGTAGAAAAACATCGTTTAATAACAAGAAAAAAATACTGAAAACACTCATTTTTTCGTGCCTGCAAGTACCCCTAACCCCTTAAAAGAATGACTCTATCAATAAGACAAATGATGATGGAAATTTTTACAGAACGAGAATGAAACGATAAGTAGTTAATGTATCTACCAGAAGAAGTTGGTTTTTGAAACCAATCAGTTAAAATATAATTGTTTTGGTGTCTAATAAGTTTAATATCTAAAAAACTAATGGAATTGTCATCTTCAAACTCACAAGTAAACTTTAAATGATTGTTAAAAGAATTAAAGGAATCAAGAGTGGAGGAGATGGAATTGTTTTCTAAACACAAGAGAACGTCATCAACATTTCTAAAGTAAAAGAAAGGTTGAACAGAAAGTTTGGGTAGAACAAAATTTTCAAGTAATTGTAAAGTTAAATCTGCCAAAGGAGGACTAATGCTAGAACCCATAGACATACCAAAAATCTGAGCAAAAAATTTATTAGTTGAGCTCGAGCAGCCGACCCGAACGGATCGAAGCTGAAATTCAATAGTGCGCAATAGTGTTACGTAAACAACAAGTGTGATTGTTAATCACCAAATATCTAGTGTAGTGATACAGTGTTTCGTACAACAAATGCCCCTTTTAGGGGGGGCATTTAATTGTAAATAAGTGAATAATTTTATTACAAGTATGCAAAATCAAGAAAATATAACTTATTCTATCCCTCCGTTAGTTGAAACTATCAACATTCTTCATGATACGTCGACGATGGACAATGAATATATTAAACAAGTAATCAACAAACAGAAGACTAATAGTTCAATTAATGGAAAAAACCAATCAGACGATACGATTATGAACGAAATAGTTCCGTCAACTTCTTGGCAAACAATAGAACCAGGCAGCAAACAAGTAATCATCAATCAGAAAACTAATGGTTCAATTAATGACAAAAATCAATCGGACGATACGATTATGAACGAAATAGTTCCGTCAACTTCTTGGCAAACAATAGAACCAGGCAGCAAACGCAGACGCACATCGGCTAATAAATATGTGAAAATGTAAACATAACGCCGACTCGAAACAGGTTCGATGCATTAAAAACAAACAAAGGTCATCCGTCCGAAACAACAAAAACACAAACTGATAACACCGAGAAAACTACAAGGCCACCTCCTATATTTCTATATAACGTAAATAATTTTTCTGATATGGTATCTGATATTAATAGTGTAATAAACAGAGAACAATATTATACAAAATCAATGTCGGACGATACAGTGAAAATAAATGTTCAACAGCCCGAGCAATACAAGCTGCTTATAAACTTTTTCAAAACAAAAGGTACTGTTTATCATACTTATCAACTTAGAAATGAAAGAGCATACAGAGTGGTACTCAAAAATATCCATCATACATACGATATCAACGAAATAAAAACGGAACTAGAGAAGAAAAATCACAAGGTCAGAAATATAATAAATATGAGATCGTATATAACTAAAAAGCCACTCAACATGTTTTTTGTTGATTTGGAACCCTCTGATAATAATAAAGAAATTTACAATATCACGAAGTTGTTGAACCATATTGTAGTAATTGAAGCGCCCAAAAAGAGAAAAGGATTAATACAATGCACAAGATGCCAAAATTATGGTCATTGCAAAACATATTGCAATCGACCATTTGCTTGTGTCAAATGTGGAGAAAATCATAACTCAAAAATTTGCGTAAAACCAAAAAGTACGCCTGCTACGTGCGCACTTTGCGGTAAAGATCACCCCTCAAATTACAGAGGTTGCGAAGAATACAAGGCCGCGTACTCCACTGCTTACAAGAAAACATATACAACAAAAAAATCACATGATATGAGAGATATCCATGATCCAAACACAAGTCGTCAAAATATTAACATCAGAAACACAAATCACATGAGCTACTCGGAAGTCATCCGAAATCAACAAAGAAACGCAACCAGCGGGCCCGAAACAAGTACGGTACTACAGGATTTCTTGAACAGTTTTAGAGATATGTTTAAACAACTCATGGAACAAAATAATATGATCATGCAGATGCTCACTATTTTGGCTAAGAAATAATGGCTAACTCACTGCGGATTGCTGAATGGAATGCAAATGGCATTCTAAATCATCTAAATGAATTAACTATGTTTCTTCAAATACAAATGATTGACATCTTATTAATAAGCGAAACTCATCTCACAGAGTCTTCATACATAAAATTCCATTCTACAACTTTTATGGTACTAATCATCCTGACAACACAGCACACGCTGGGGCTGGTATTCTAATAAAATCATCAATAGAACACTATGAGTTAGCGAAATATCAACAAAACCATATACAGGCAACATCAGTTAAAATAAAAGGTTTCGAACACAATATGATTGTTTCAGCCATCTATTGCCCTCCACGATATAATCTAAAGAAAAACGATTATGAAGAATATTTTGAAACATTAGGAAATAAATTTATAGTTGGTGGTGACTTCAACTCTAAAAATATAATATGGGGCTCAAGACTTACGACTCCAAAAGGTAAACAACTGGCAGAGTTAATATATGAGAAAAACTATACCATAATAACAACTGGGAGTCCCACCTACTGGCCAACAGACATACAGAAGATACCGGATCTGCTAGATTTTTTTATAACAAAAAATATTTCAAGTAATTATATTGATATAGAAAGTAATGAAGACTTATCTTCGGATCATACGCCCATAATTTTGACCCTAAGTACTAATGTAATAAAACGGAAGGTACAACGCAAACTGTACAACCACAAAACGAATTGGGAGTGTTTCAGAAATGTAATTGATTCAAAAATCAACCTTAAAGTAAGAATTAAAAATGAAAATGATCTCGACGAAATAACTGAACAGTTTATAAGTACTCTTCAACAAGCCGCTAGGTTTGCCACACCAGAACTAGCGCAACATAAACTGGAAATCAACGTACCAATGGAAATTAGGCAGCTTATAAAGGATAAACGAAAGGCAAGAAATGTCTGGCAAAGAAGTCATAACCAGCACGATAAAACAATATACAATAATTTGGCAAGAAAACTTAAACATGAATTAAAACAGGGGAGAGAAATTGGCATAATGAACTATATTACTAATCTTAACAAGTATGATAACACGATTTGGACACCAATTAAAAAAACTAGAAGACCTATAACAACTAACTCGGCAATAAGATTAGATTCGGAAGGACCATGGGCTAGGAGTGATCAAGAAAAGGCGAATATGTTTGCGGACTATCTAAGAAACGTATTTACTCCAAATGAAAATAGTCAACAACCGCGAGTATCTGATGAAGTTAATGAGATAAAAGGCACTACTGAAAACATTAAACAGGTTACACCAAAAGAAATTAAGAGACAAATTTCACTTTTAAATAACAAGAAATGTCCAGGAATTGATCAATTGGATGCTAAAATTTTGAAAGAACTGCCAAGAAAAGGTCTAATAATGCTGACTTATATATTCAATGGAGTACGACGTTTGGGATATTGGCCAAAGGACCTAAAGAACTCCGAAGTAATAATGTTACAAAAACAAGGTAAACCTAGTCATATGGCTAATTCATACAGACCAATTAGTCTTCAACCGGTTATATCTAAACTATTGGAAAAAATATTACTAGTAAGAATCCAAGAAAATCTTACCGCGATACCAGATCATCAATTTGGTTTTAGACAATCTCACTCCACTATACAACAGGCTCATAGGATAACTTCAATCATTCACAAAGCTTTTGAAGACAGTGAGTATTGCTCTGCGGTATTCATCGACGTAAAACAAGCATTCGATAGAGTGTGGCATGATGGATTGATAGCCAAAATTAAAAAATGCTTACCAAATCAATTATATAAAATACTGAAGTCATTCTTGACTGGTAGATACTTCAGGACAAGGGTAAGAGATGCAGTATCAGATTTTCATCCAATAAAATCGGGAGTACCACAGGGTAGTGTATTAGGACCAATTTTACACACAGTATATACACACGACTTACCAACACATAACAACACAATTACGGGTACATTCGCGGATGACACAATGATCATGGCAACACATCAAGATCCAGTAATCGCATCTCTAAACTTACAAGAACATCTATTCGCACTTGAAGAATGGCTGAAAGAATGGAAAATAAGTATAAATGAAGACAAATCAAAACATATCACGTTTACAACGAGAACTCAAAACTGTGAGGCCGTATTTATAAATAACATCGAAATTCCTCCTAGTACCAGCATTAATTATTTAGGGCTTCATCTAGACCGTAGACTCACATGGGGTCCCCATATCAAACAAAAAAGCAAACAAACAATGAAAAAATTCAAACAACTATACTGGCTAATTGGCAGAAAATCGAAAATGTCATACGCAAACAAGACTTTAATATACAAAACTGTACTAGTACCAATATGGAGCTACGGAATAGAATTATGGGGATGTGCAAGTGCATCAAACATAAAAATTATACAGCGTACCCAGAACAAAATATTAAGGGCAATGGTAGATGCGCCTTGGTACGTAACTAATGAGACCATCCACAGGGACCTGGAAATTAAAACTGTAAATGAAATTATAAAGACCCGGAGCTGTTCTTATCACAACAAAATCGATGATCATTCGAACGCTGAAATACAAATTATCAACAAAATGGTTCAAACAAGAAGACTCAAGAAGAAATGGCCAAAGGACCTGCAATATTAAATTATATACAGACAGCTATAGAATAATTCTAGCAGAGGATCTCTTCAATGGAGGAGACCTCTAAACGCCAAATATAATTTATCACATAGGCTAATAGAAACTTTGTCTTCTGATTGTCTATTAAATAATAAATAAAAAAAAAAAAAAAAAAAAAATTATTGTCAAAACAGAAATATGTATTATTGAATATGAACTTTAAAATGTATTTAAACCAAAATAAATTAATAGTTGTAAGTGGTTTGATTTCATTCCAACGATCCGAAATGGCATCCAACGCAAGATCCCATGGAACGTTCGTGAACAAAGAAACTTACTACATTTTAGCAAAACTTCATTGTCTCTAACACTGATTTTGAATTCAATGGCTCTTTCTATTATCAAATTTTTGGGGCGCTAATGGGGTCCCCAGCAAGTCCATCTCTAGCAGAAATATCTTTACAACTTCTTGAAAATACAATTTTTAAAAATTACGATAAGAATTACGGTTTTTTATTACCGTTATGTAGATGACATTATCACTTGTAGTGATGAAGTCACTATGATAATTGATCAATTTAATAACGTCAATAAAAAATTAAAATTTACAGTAGAATTGGAGGCAATGAACTCGATAAGTTTCTTAGACATAAAACTTATACATACTACGGATAACAAACTAAAACAATTGGTACCAAAAACCAACTAACTCTGGACGTTACCTTAATTACTTTTCTTGTCATCCACTCAAAATGCAAATAGGTACTATAGTAAATCTAACTGACCACGCAATACTTCTATCGGACAAAACATTTTGGGACAACAACATCAATTTAATTACAAAAATTCTAACAGATAACTCCTATCCCTTAAAACTTATAAATTCCGTAACTAGTAATAGACGAACGTACTTTTTGAATAAAATGGACAATTCCACAGTACATAACGTTTACCTGACTCAGAAACTCATTCTAGTGTAATATGTTTGCCATACATTAAAGAATTGTATGTTTCTTGGAAAAAACTTTTTTATAAATCTGGACTCCGACTTGTAACCAATTTTAGTACAACTACTAGCACTATTTTTACCAAAACAAAAACCCTTTTTAAATCAAATGACTTAGAAATCTCGTCTATCAAATAAATTGTTTAGATTGTAATTTAATTTACATAGGAGAAACTAGCCAGAACTTGAATAAACGGTTACAACATAAAAACAATTCAAAAAACCCAAGACAATTCAAAAACTGTACTTGCTGACCATATTTATACTTTAAAACACAATATGGACTTTTCTAACCCGACTGTACTACAATTCGAACAAAATTTATTTAAACAAAGAATTATAGAAGGATCTTTTTTAACTATTTATAACAATAAGACAAATAAATAAACGGAATGAACTTAACACGCTGTGCGACACAAATCTCTTCTATTTAGATAACATTTCCAAATTTCTTACAAAACAATAAAAGCGTCGCGCAAAGGATTCGCAATTCGTTCCACACATGTGTAGAATCTTGGTAAAAATATTTTTTAAAAATGTCTTTCTCCATTATATCTTCAACCAGTCTATGAATAACACACTATCCATTTGTGATTTTTTAAAATTAGTATTTTGTGAAAATATTGTGTAATTTCAAGTTAATGTTTATAATACATAGTGTAGTGCATTACCATATCCTGATACCATGGATTATTAAAATTTTCCAATTTAACACTAAGATTAACTAATTGTAAGTACTATTTACTATTTTATTTTTTATTTTCACTCCAATTCAATTGTTTTAGTTTTTAATTTTATTTTTAGTTTCCACTGAATGAAGGCTAGGATTATAACCGAAACGTATGGATTTAAAATAAGTTTTTGAAAGAAATTCATGTTTTTTATTGATGTTATGCCCGATTATTAGACTTTGTTAATATATATGTCAACATCAAATTCAGAATCATACAATATATATATATATATATATATATATATATATAAGGATATTAATTATAAATTATACTAAAAAATTGGACTAAAAAATTAAACAATATTTAATCCGCACATAATTATACATGTAATATTATTTGAAGAATATCATAAAATAGTTACCTGCTTTACTTGTCTGAGCCCATTTTTTTATGCAATTTAAATGTAAAACATGAAAACAGCCTAAGCAAGACCAAACAGAGTGAGATGTTTAATATATTCACAGCACACAAGACATTCCAAGGTACCTAAGAAAAAGTATTCATTAAAAAAAATGCTTGCAGTAAGTATAACAAATGTAAAAAAATATAATCCGTTGGAAGGCATTCTTATTTTACAGTGATATAAATGAAATATGAATATTACTTGAATCAAGCAATCCAAATTAGAAAAACATTAAAAACATTGTTTAGACTGTGTAAGCAATGAAAACCAAAATTATAATGATATAATGTAATACCAAAGTTGCAAAACAAAAATATTTTATTTTAAATTTTAATATTCTTTTCAAAGGCTTCTGATTATTTTGGTATGCCTCAGAATGTAATCAATACCTGATGAGTTTGAAAAGCCAAACCTATCACTGAAAAAATAAATTCATTCGTGTTTTTATTAGTGTACTTTTGAAGCATTAAAATTTACCTTTATCTAATGAAAACTTTAAGCTTTCTCGCTGGGTTATCATTGCAGTATTCAAATTAGAATATTCAGTGTTCATTTTTTTCGCATTATATGATTTTCCAAGACTTTTAAATTGATTATTTTTTTCTTTCCAATTATTTTTTAAATCAGACGAATTTGTATTTTTTTTGGTATGAACTTCTTTAATCGAGTATCTATTTGGATTCCATCTAGAATTGTGTGAACTTTCTGAGTCTACCATATTTCTTGATAAAAAATTTCCTGAGTTACATTTTCTCTTGTAATTATAATTCTTTGCATTATCAAGTTTTTGTGATACCATGTTTAACTCTGCCATATTTTCATCTGGTGAACTGTTAATAATGCCTTGATTGGAATGTTTATAATCTATCATAATTTTTTTTTCTTTGTTTAATAATTTCCATTTTCTATATGGTTCAGAATATTTTATGAAATTTGTATCAAGGGATGGCTTATATTGTTTCCACCAACTTCGCGAAAGTTGGTCATTTTGTGAGAGCGATGCTGAGTGATCTTGGCATTCAGCCCCAGAAATATTATTACTCTGTGCAGGAACTATACAAAATGGAACGGCATTTCTAGGAATAAATTCAGGGGCAGTGGGTGTGAGTTTTGAAGTCAGAGTGACTGTTATATCTTGATATGCAATACCTAAAATATACACATGTATATATATATATATATATGTAGCGGGTTGCCAACACGCATAGCGGCTTGTCAACACGCATCACATGTCTCTGGACAGATTGGCCCATATAGTGACAGCACTGAGAAAAACAAAAGGAAATTCAAGTGTCAGATCGGACACGGTTTTTGTTTCTCTCTAGTAGTTTTTTTTTTCAAAACCTTTCCTTTTCTATTTATAAATAAGAAAATACCAATCACATTTTATTAACGATAAATATGACAACACATAGTGTCGTGGATATTAATCATACATAAAATAAACCATATAAATAATATTTTATGGAATTTATTATTACTACAATTTGGATAATATTGGTATTAATATGGAGGACTACTACACCTCCATATTTTGGTGACCCCGAGAGTGAACTAGCAACACACATACAAGAAGGTAAGAAGATCAAGACATATTTTGAAGTAGCACAAGAAAAAAAAATAAATTGAAGTCTCAAGAATTATTAAGAAAAGAATTTTTTAAAAATATAAATAATTATTATAAATGGCTCACAACTTCCATAATTCGAAGAGCATTCTAAGCATACAACTGAGACTCCGACCACGCACTTCAAGATCACAACACACGTGCTCATAAATCATCACTTATTATCATGGTAAATAAGTCGATAATAAGCACCATGGCAGCAGACAGGGAGCAAACAATTTGGCAACCGCCACATACACTCACCGCTAACTCACCAGCGAAGGGCCACATACAATCAACCGCTAACTCACCAGCGAAGGGCCACATACAATCAACCGCTAACTCACCAACGAAGGGCCACATACACTCAACCGCTAACTCACCAGCGAAGGGCCACATACACTCAACCGCTAACTCACCAGCGAAGTGTCAAATATACTAGCCGCTAACTCACCAGCGAAGGGCCACATCTACTCAACCGCTAACTCACCAGCGAAGGGCCACGTAAGCAATCAACAACTCAACAAGCCAACACGGCAATTTATCACACAATCTCAACCAAAAGAAATTTACAAGGAAGTTCAAGAATGGCAGTCAGAGATGCGAAACAATCTTTTTCATTAGGGCGGAGTGATGTAGCGGGTTGCCAACACGCATAGCGGCTTGTCAACACGCATCACATGTCTCTGGACAGATTGGCCCATATAGTGACAGCACTGAGAAAACCAAAAGGAAATTCAAGTGTCAGATCGGACACGGTTTTTGTTTCTCTCTAGTAGTTTTTTGCCAAAAAAATGTATAATTTTCAAAACCTTTCCTTTTCTATTATAAATAAGAAAATACCAATCACATTTTATTAACGATAAATATGACAACACATAGTGTCGTGGATATTAATCATACATAAAATAAACCAAATATAAATAATATTTTATGGAATTTATTATTACTACAATTTGGATAATATTGGTATTAATATGGAGGACTACTACACCTCCATATATATATATATATATATATATATATATATAGAATTTTATGATATGAGTGGAACGAATATTAATTGTTTAATATGAACAAAACAGCACTCAGATTTTTTTATCACAACTTTATTTTATTATTACAAACGTTTCGAGACTAAGTGACCTTGCCAATGCAAGGTATAGTTGATGTTTTATATTAAAAAGTCCAAATTTAGTTTTAAATAAAATATTAAAAAGAATGTTTAGTAATAAATAACTGTTATTGAAATTACACTGATGATGAGGCACACCTTAGCCTCGAAACGTTTGTAATAATAAAATAAAGTTGTGATAAAAAAATCTGAGTGCTGTTTTGTTCATATTAAACAATTAATATATATATATATATATATATATATATATATATATATATATATATATATATATTGAATGGTAGAATCTTGGATTTGTGTATATTTTGTAGAGTTTCGAACAAGAATCCAAAAATAATACAAAATAAAAAAACAAGAAATGTTTTTAATAAACAATTTCTTTAATTATTTTTTTTCTGTCAACGTTTCGGAACTAGGTACGTTCCATCTTCAGGACATCTGTCAAGAAACATGATCTTGATGAGATTTAAGCAAACAATATGTTTAGGAATAGAAAATAGATTTTTCTTAAATAATAAATTAATTGTAACAAATAATAATGTACAGAAATATAATAATATGATCAAAATGAAAATGATAAAAATAAATGAGTGGGTTATCAGAACAGGATATTAAAAATGATAGAAATTTTTTATGAAAGTTATGGAAAAATTTTTTTAAGAAAAGATTAATGATAAAATTGAATTAATTACCTGTATGTTTGAATATACGTTAGCACTTTTTCACTGAACAAGAATTTTTAACAAAAATGAATTTGTGAGTTATTTTTTCCGCCGAATAGTTAACTTTTGTAAATCAAAATTACTAAAAGTGTTGTCTTTTTTAAAATTTTTAAACAAAAAACTAATTTCTGAGAATTTTGCTTTTAACCTAAAAATACAACACCCTATCTCCCCTAAGATGTACTGTCTTCCAAAAATACACAAACCTGAATGCTCTTTCAGACCGATTGTCTCCTACATTGGCTCACCTTTTTACAATATTTCGAAACTCATTTCTGATGTCCTAAAAAATGTTACAATCAATTCTCCCTATTATGTCAAGAATTCGTACCAATTTGTGAATTTAATTAATAACCGCAACATCCCTGAAAATCACTTATTTCTAAGCTTAGATGTGGTCAACCTTTTTACATGTGTCCCACATGAATTAATCCTAAACTCAATCGATAAACGTTGGCACACAATTTGTAACTTTACTGACTTTCCGAAAACAGTCTTCACTCATATTATCAACACTATTTTAAATTACTCCTATTTCCATTGCCAAGACAACTTTTATTCTCAAATTAAAGGCGCAGCTATGGGATGTCCCTTATCTCCCGGAATTATCGACTTAGTCTTACAAACACTAGAAATTTCCGTTTTCTCAACTTTAAAATTTCAAATTAACTTTTATATTAGATATGTAGCTGACACTTTTTTTATCATTAACAAAAATCATATAAACACAGTACTAGATCTTTTCAATAACTTTAACAATAATATAACTTTCACACATGAACTACAAAATAACAACAGACTTAATTTCTTGGATGTATCCGTTTACAACACTAATAACTTTATTCGAACAAATTGGTATAGAAAAACTACATGGTCGGGTAGATACTTACACTATTCCTCATACTGTCCCAGAAACTATAAGATAAACACTATTATTTCCCTTACAGACCATGCTATTTTGTTGTCTCACCAAACTTTCCATCCACAAAATTTATCCCTAGTAAAAATAACTCTAATTGAAAATGGTTACCCAAAAAATCTCATTCATTCAGTTATTCAAAAAAGACGAACTTTTTTAAAAACACAAATTAATTCTCCCAATACCAGTACCAACATCAAAAACACCAATCTTATTTACTGCAGCATGCCATACGTTGAAGATTTATATTATTATTTTGCCAAAATTTTGTTAGAAGAAAACATTTTAGTATCAGGCTCATCCTTACACTCCTTCAACCAATTCTTTACGAACATTAAATCCCCTACCCCATCCAATTTCAATACTAATGTAGTATATTCTGTTTCTTGTAATGACTGTGCTTTTCAATATATTGGACAAACCTCGCAATATGTGTGAACTAAGTGTGGTCCACCATAAACAAAAAATATTCAAAAGTACCCTAGTACAACACTCTATTGAAAACGCCCATTCATTTAATTTCACTCCAAAGATTTTAAATCATGAAAGTTGCATTTTTAGGAGATTATTCGCGGAGAGTTGTCTTATTCTCTTGAATGTTTCTAACAGTGTCAACATTAGATCAGATCACAACCTATTACATGATTCATATTTAAATTTTTTACACTTTTTGACAAACAATTAATATCGACTTCCTTTTAAGTTCAATAATTCAAGTATTTACACCCTAACATAAAAAAAACACACACATACAATCTCACAGTTCGCGTTCCAAGTGTTTACACGTGTTACATATGAACCATCAAATTCATTTAGTTTGCTTCCAAAAGCCAATAGTATAACATCGAGAAAACAATATTATTTGTTTTCAAATAAAAATTTAAAAAAAGACAACACTTTTAGTAATTTTGATTTACAAAAGTTAACTATTCGGCGGAAAAATAACTCACAAATTCATTTTTTGTTAAAAATTCTTGTTTAGTGAAAAAGTGCTAACGTTTATTCAAACATACAGGTAATTAATTCAATTTTATCATTAATCTTTTCTTAAATTTTTTTTTTCCATAACTTTCATAAAAAATTTCTATCATTTTTAATATCCTGTTCTGATAATCCACTCATTTATTTTTATCATTTTCATTTTGATCATATTATCATATTTCTGTACATTATTATTTGTTACAATTAATTTATTATTTAAGAAAAATCTATTTTCTATTCCTAAACATATTGTTTGCTTAAATCTCATCAAGATCATGTTTCTTGACAGATGTCCTGAAGATGGAACGTACCTAGTTCCGAAACGTTGACAGTAAACAAATAATTAAATAAAGAAATTGTTTATTAAAAACTTTTCTTGTTTTTTTATTTTGTATTATTTTTGGATTCTTGTTCGAAACTCTACAAAATATATATATATATATATATATATATATATATATTTTGATGAGTTATTTAGAATCGGGCAGTAACAGAATCCTATATATATATATATATATATATATATATATATATATATATATATATATATATATATATATATATATATACATACTGCCCTATTCTAAATAACTCATCAAAATACATACATATATATATATATATATATATATATGTATAGATATTTTGACAAAGTCTAGTAATAACATCAATCAAAACATGAATTTCTTTCAAAAATTTATTGTACATCCATACTTGGAATACATATGTCAACATTAAATTCAGAATCATCCAATAAATATCTTTATATAAAATTCTTCTGTAATGGGGTATGAATGGTTAATCCTCTTAAACTATTATTCGGAATTTCATAAATCTTCCTGAAGTTTGTTAAGGTAATTTTCTAAGATTTTGGGATTTTTTTTGAATATCAAAAATTATTCGAAATTTAATTAATTCTAGCTAAAGTTCTGAAGCTCACTTATATACTTCAAATAAATAATTTTAACTTTGCAATTCAGTTTATATAATTCTAATAAATATTAGGCAATGTCCTAAATTTTTAACCTCCCGTAGGGTACTGTAACTAGCCTACGGTAAATTATAAATGGGCCGAAAATCGTCAATGAAAATTTTTGCATATTTTCAGGTCTGAACATTTTGACACACCTAAAAAATATTGATGTGTGTGTGTGTGGCTTTTGTATATATTTTTTCGTCCACGTTTTTGGGCGCACGGATCAATCGATTTGAATGGTTCAAAAAACATTCAATTCCTATTGATAGGGTGCTGATTATTTTTTGGCAAAGGCAGATCGAGCTGCTACGGAGATTCAGTAGCAAATAGTGCAGAAAATAAAAATCGAGTTTTTGAGGGAATGAACTGATTTGAATGATCTAAAAAACATTCAATTCGTAATGATCGAGAAAAGTGGTGATTAGTTTTTGGCAAAGGCAGGTCTAGCTAGCCGTTTCGAAGATACGAAGCTAAATGTACAAAAAATGGCAGTTTTTAAGAGAACTAAGATTCGATTTGAATGATTCAAAAGACTTTCTGGTTGTGTTGGCAAAACAATTGCTTTTGGAAAAAAAAAATTAATTTTTTTTTGTATATCGAAAATAATTCAGATATTAATTTCAATTCTTGATAAAGTTCTTACTTATATACTTCAAATAAATAACTTACTTATATACTTCAAATAAATAACTAAATAACTATTCAATTCTTATAAATATCAGACAATGTCACAGCATTTATAATAATCTATTCAAAAACATTTACTATTCCTCGAACATTTTCTTACGGTACGGGAAGTTCCAGAAATTTGCCTTAAGGCACGATGGAATACACCACTGGTTTTAAATTCGATTGATTAAATTTTGTTTATTTACTTTTCTATAAATATATATAAGTTACAGTTTTTATAATAATCTATGTGAAAACATTTAATATTCCTCAAATATTTCATTGCAAAACAAGAAGTTATTATAGCAATTTGCCTTAAGGCGCAATGCCACACACCACTAGTTAGTTATTTCATTTACTCTCTTTAAAAACTATCAGACATGCCACACTTGGAAAATGACATAGGTAGCGGATGTTAAGGGGAAAGTAATTAGAGGCTATAGATTGATACTAAGAATACCTCGTTAAACTTACACTATCTAAATACAAACCAATAGAGACCCTTATTTTTTTATTTATATTATATGTATAAAGACCGTATATTTATATGACGTATAAAGACTGCATATTATGAAGAATATGAATCTTTCAACTTTTCAAATGGCAATATCTCACAAATGGTGATTCTAAATAAATTATAATATATAAATCTGTCTCATGAACTTTTATGATAGTTCTTATAGTTTCCTATAAAAATGGAAGAAAGTATTTTGTCCCTTTGACTTTGGATTAAAAAATAACGGAAAGCTCGGATCAATGGGGACTTTTGACATTTCGTTCGTAAAGACATATTTAACATCTGTACCAATTTTCATCTCTATACGAATTTTCATAAAAAAAATACGATTTGCTAATTTTATATTTTTTCGACGTTTCAAGCCATTCTGAATCGAATGAGATCAAATTCGGATAAAGTATGTGCGTGATCAGATTTTTGACTTCTCATCGACGTTTTCTCAGACGGCTGTAACTCGATAAGGACTAGTGTTTATCAGTTTTGCGCGACGATCGGCCACGCCGTTTTTCGTAAATAGCAGAAAAGTGAAAAACATTTGGTCCATTATTTCGTCCACGTTTTAGCCCGCAATTCGAAATCGATTTTAAAAATTCAAAAACTGCTCGAAAGATATTGGTTGAGAATCGACCTGATTGTCTCTGGTAAGGATTTGCTGACACAAGTTCTTGTAATTAACTGTTCAAAAAAAAATTGACGATTTTTATGATTTTTTTTTTTTTTTGATGATAGATATCATGGTTTTTTAGATCATACTAAAATGTTAAGGCCCTACGACAAGTCGTTTAATTTTAAAAATTTGTGAAAGTTCTATAGAAAGAGTATGATCTATAGGCAAGTAGAATAATTTTAAAAATTCATCAAAATTTGAATAAATATGGTCAAAATTTGTGTCAAAAGTTGCTTTTGTGATGTGAAGAGTCAAACATTGTCAGTTCATCAAAATTTGGAATAATAAACTACGATTTTAGGATATATAAGTATGTGTAAGTGCAATATAATTAAAATAATTAAGAAAATTTAAATATGTTTGAGAGATATCAATTGAAAATAGAAATATTTAGATTTAATTGAAAGCAAAAACTTACATTCGAAATAAGAAGTTGAAAATTTTATCCAAATATCTTAATCTCAATTTCGGTTGATTTAGTCAATTACAACACATTTCGGGAAGTTCATGCAACTTGCATTAAGGCTAAATGCCACTTTCACTTTAAAAAACATTCAATTCTTATAGATAAAAAATATCCATTCAATTATGCTGATAAGTTGGTCTAGCCATCTGGAGATAAGAAAAAAGAGTGCAGAAAACGGAGTTTGTGAGTAAGCAAAGCATTCGATTTGAATGATTCAAAAAACTTTCCACTTGTATTGATGTAATAAAGAATTAATTGGTTTTGCAGAAAAAAGTTTTAAAAATGCCATTTGGTGTTCAACAATCAGATATTTTTGACTGTCTCGTATTCAAAATTTTCAAATGTTTACAAAATTATCAAAAAATTAAAAAAATCCAAAAAGTCTTTATCTGATCTTTTAATAATATTAAATTCCCGTACATGAAGTTCCAGCAATTTGTTAATTTGACTGGGGTGTTTAAAACATATGTACTAAAGTGCGTTGATAAGTTTCATCAAAGGTAGGCCTGTTAATTAATCTGGATTGTATAATAGTGAAATATGCGAATAAAAATTTTATAATAAAAAAAAATTATATTCATTCTAATAAAAATTCAAATTGTTTCCCATCTGCATCAACACATGCCCTATGGCCCTTCTTAATGAAGATCTATTTATTACCAGGTTTTATTATCTATCTTTTCAAAGCCAACTCGTAATACAAGGACAATCTGTGTTGTAACACGCACACATACATGCCCACACGCCTACACACCACATGCACAAATGCACACACACACACACATGTGCATAATCTAACAATATGATTATTTTTACTGATATTTGATGCATTACATTGGGCATGATCCATGTATAGATTATTGGCTTCTAAGTTGCTCGTACTTGTATCTTCACATAGGTCTTGAATTGTATTGTTTCCATATGCATTGTTCATTGTAAGATATTAAAATTTATTCTACGTTTTAGAGCGAGTTTTAAAGTCCGTATCTGCAATAAAGATTTTAATCTATTATAATACTGCTTTATATTTTATATATTTATTTTATTACATATATATGTATATATATATATATATATATATATATATATATCTTGATATTGTTTATTTCCTCTTTAAAACATAAAAATAAACTGGTTTGCTGAATGATGAGCTAATACAATAGCTCGAAACGTATTAAAGAAGATTTAATATTTACGCTCTGTTTTTATTTTTTCGACTTGTGGCTGAAAAACCTTATCACAAAAAAATATATATATATATATATATATATATATATATATATATATATTAAAAAATATTAATGTCAATAAACCTTATGTAACATTCCATAGTTCACAGTTAAAAGACTAAAAATCATAATAAAATTATATAATATATGTAAATTATATAAAATTATATATGAAAAAAAAATTGAGTAGAGATATATCTTATTATTTATTACTATAGTAATAACAAAAAATTAAACCAATCTGTGCTTCGGGTAAGAACACCTTACTCCTAACAATTAGAATGATTACAAATTCTCATTTTGTACTTGTCAGATATCAATTTTATTTCTTCATTTACAATGCTATCTGGGTGCGTTTAGATCTTGAGATTTTATTTTGCACGCAATAAATAATCTGAATGCTACTTTTTTTGGCCGGGCACTCAGATTTCCCATATGAATAAACAGGTTGGAGGACACTAAAGAAGTGGTAACTTATTATTGGTTGATAGTACAGACCACCTATTCAGTAAGAAATATGTTTCAAATAGTTTTTTATAAGAATGAATACTAGTCTAGCTATTTATTAATTTCTATTGAAATGATCTCTACAGGGTAAGGTATTGCAGTTAAATCTCTTCAAAGTCCAGGTGTATTCCAAAATACTTTTTGTTAAATATATGTCTTAGGACATATTCCATGCAAAGCATATTTTCATGTACAAAGTTCTTAAAGATTCTAAACATGATGATACTAAGTTATAAAATGAAACTAGTTATAAATATGACATATGTAGATTTGGCTCTAGTAGATTAACTTCGTCACAATTAAAACCATTTGTAAGCTAATATCAAACCATTCTTGTAATTGTGAAAAGTTGTGATGCTATTATTGAATTATAGTTAACAATGATACACATATCAGAAATAAATTTTGCTTTGCTTGTACTGGAAGAAAAAATAATTTTGTATCTACATGTTTCTAGGAACATTTTCCTAGGAGTGTGTGATGCAAATTCCTAAATTATTTGTTAAAAAATTTAGAAAGTTTTCTTTACCAAAAGCAGTTTCCTTCGATCATTTAATTATTTTTTAATTTGTAGTTGATTATTAACACTGATAATGCTTTCAATTTTTTATAAGGATTATTCATATAAATTAGTCCATCTGATCACAATATCCATGCATGGTATGTTGAAAGGGTTGATTCACTAAATACTAAAAAAATCAATCTGACATTGAGAAGCATAATTTTTATTTTAATGCATGAGACATTCCCTGATTCCATGTCTACATTACATATTTTAATAGACCGATATAACAGCAAATTGGATCGCTGTCGCTTCATTAATGCTACATCATTATTATGCTAAACATACAAATTAAACTACACTCAATAATAAGAATTTAAATAGTTCTCAATATCGATCAAGAGTAATAATACACACGACATTAACTTATTTTTACTTACATAATTTGGAGTATGTTATATTGAATATATTGGAATAAAACATGCCACAACATATTTCTTAAAAAATTAACCACAGTTTTAAAAGAGGTTACAAAAGACAATGGAGTTTTACTTTGACATCAACTAATCACATATGCCAACATATGCTATGCCGGGCCTTTTCACTTAGAACAAAATTCTCGTTCAGAAGGAATACTTGGGGGTCCATTTGTAGTCGCAGATTTGGCGCTAGTGAGCCGATGAAAAAGTATTTTCAAATATTTTATTTTGGTTATTGAAGCCGGACACAGACGTAACTGTATTCTTGCGCAACCTGCGACTTGCACATGTTGCTGTCCCAACTTGACAGACTGGTGCAAGCGAGTAGGCATGAGCACTTTTCGATTATTTTAATTGCGCAATCATTCAAGTCGGTAATTTCATTCGTTGGCCGCATGTGGCAGCACACGTCGCGTTTTAGTTTTACTTTGTAGCGAATCATAGACCTTATACAATTGTATAAGGTCTATGGGTGCATACCATAGATAAGTAAGCATTGGTAAGCATACCATACCAAATATAAGTAACAACGCTACTAGTAACAATACTCTTCTTTTATCTATGAGTACAATTTGACGTAAATTTGACTTAAAAAATATATTTTCTAATTCTTCAAATAACTATAGTTATTTTATATGTATATATATATATATATAATAAAAAGCACACACATTTTTAAATTTTCATTTTTGTAATCAAATCATTTTTTCAAATTTTGATTGAGACGTTGTTGAGTTCATGGAGCTTTTGTCTTTGATTTCTAAAGGTGCGTCCACACCTAACGAACGAACACGAACGAACATAAAAGAACGTACCAGAACTAACGGCAACAGCATAGTGTGGACGCCACGACGATCACGAACGAACATAAACAAACATGGCGAGCAATGTTCCGCAACTTGTCGGTACATCAAAGGGAATTGTTCGTTCATGTTTGAACTCGTATGTGCAG